TGCGCGGGGTGCCGCGGACGCCCTCCACCCCCAGCACCCCCGCCGCCGCCGCCAGTGCCGCCACCTCGACCTTTTTGCTTGCTGCGCTCCTTAGAGATCAGGTCGTCCAGGCTGAGGCCCAACTTGTCGTCCACCGACATCGTGCCCAGGCGGTGTGCGATCGCCCCGAGGGAGATGTGCGGGCCCACAAACAAAAAAGTATTCAATAATATCTTGAATAACACCACACGTGAACCAAGAGGGCGAAGGAGCTGGCGACAAGATCACACCGTGCAGTATATGATTGGTTTGTAGGCTGAACGGTTATGTGATCATGAGCTATATCATTCCACTTTTGAGCCAAAGATCCTTCGTGCAAGAGAGCCATAATACGATGAAAAGCCGGACCCAGCAGCTGCTCTGTGCAGGCCTCGCTGTGCCCGTGCTCTGGAGGTGTGCGTCCTGCGGTTCGTGGCAACTGTAGTCAGACGAAAAAATTTCCAATCAATAGAAATCCACAGCGAAGCAAGTATTCCAGGGCGTAGGCTCCGTTGATCTGTGTCTGCTGTTGACTCGCCTGCCACTGTCTGGATCGCCCCTTCGGCTGATGCGTTGATTCGCATGGCTGTATATCTACCTTATTCGTGATTTAGCATCGACGCCGTCGGCAACTGGACGATAAGCGGCGGCGCAGCCAGTCGAGCGCGGCCCAGCAGAGCACCGCACGAGCACGGCGCAGCGGGCTGCCATGGCGAAGCACGTGCACATTCCAAAGCTGTTCACTGTATTAAAATGGACCTTTCTTGTCGTGTGAGCGTTCAGAGCACGCGCTGCATCTGGTCAGGGCCTGGCGGTCGCTGCAGGCGCCGGGCTGCTGGGCGGTTGATATGGCGGCTGGATGCGCTGCCGCAGCAACCCCCCCCCCCCCCGTCCATGATGCACGCAGCTCTGCAGCCACGCATGAAACGTTGTGATTGCATGCGCGAGGGCGCGTCGTCGCGTCGCCAAGAGCAGCCCCCGACCCGTGCGCCACCGCTCCGCCATGCGACCCCGCGCACGCACGCGCGTGTGCACCTGTCGCGTGCCGCCGGCTCAGCCCCGATGCCGCTCCGCCTCAGCGTGGGCCCCTGCTACGCCCCCGCTCCTTTTTGCAGCATCGCGGTCACAACGGCGCTGGTGGGGTTTGCGCAGAGCATGCTCGTGGCGGCGCTGTACCAGATGCGCAGTGGCTTCATTTACAACATCGTGGTAGGTTTGAATGTCGACTGGGTTTGACTCATCGTATGATGGTCGAAGCGGCCGCGCCGCCGAGCTCTGGGTTCAGGCAGGGCCATCCCCGGGCGGCAGGCAACTGGACAGGCCGTGCGGCCTGGCACCCGCTTTTGATTGAGTGATCAGGCCTCCCACACACACCGCGGCGGCCGCCTGGCACTGAGGGGGCGTGCCGCATCGCGCCGCGGCAGCAATCCCTCGGACCCCTCACCCACCCCTGCGCAGTCGGAGCACGAAGCGTGGATACCGAAATTGTTCCAGTACACCGGGTGAGCAGGACGGGTGGCGCCAGGCGCGCTTGCGGGGCGGCGCTTGGCGGCTCTGGGCCTGCGACGAGCCGCCCGGGCGCACCACACGGGTGGCGGGCCGCGGCGGGAGCAGGGCCGCGCAGCTGCGGGCGGCTTTGTGGCAGCGGAGCTCGCCCTGCATGGGGTTTGGGCAGGAAATTGAGGACTAGCAGCGGTGGCAGCGCTGCGGGACGCTGGGGAGGTGGCAGGCCCCACCGGCCGCGGCCCGCGCTGGCGGACAGCGACCCCAAGGCCGGCGACGCGGCGACACCAGCCGCCGCCCCTGAGCGCAGGGCCGCGGCTCTGGCTGAAGCACCAGTCTTGTATTGATTACGGCAGCCGCCCTAATCCAGTGCGCGGCAGGCAATTGCCGCAGCCCGCAAGCCGCCGACTCCGCGCCTCGCTGCGCACGCGGCCACGCGCCCCCTCCCAGCCCACGGCGCCCCCGGGGACCAATAACACAACCCCGCAGCTTCAACCCTGCGCCGGCCACGCCGCATGCTGACTCAGCACGCCGCGACTCCCTAAACCGCGCCCGCCACTGCGCGCCCCGCAGCTTCAACCTGGCGCTGGCCTTCGGCTCCAGCGTGTCGCTGTTCCTCATATCACCCGCCGCGTCGGGCTCTGGCATCCCGGACGTCAAGGCCTACCTCAACGGCGTTGAGTCACCCATCTTCAGGAACTTCTTCACAGTGAAGACGTTCGTCGCAAAGGCGAGAACTTCCCGCCTGGGGGCCGGGCTTCGCGGCGCCGCGCACGCCTGCGGTGCTAGCGGGCCGCGAAGGCGAGGGCTTCCCGCGCGGGGGACTGGCTTCGGGGATGCCCACCTGCGGGGGGTTTTGGAAAGCAGGAGCCTGCCGCCTTGGGGCTGCGGTTGGGGCATGCGCCTGCATGACGGAAGGGGGGGGGGGCATGCA